TTTATGTAGGTTGATGCTTTGGATATCATCTGAGGGGTGTGGCACCATGATATTTATGCTTAAATGACGAGATGTTTTGATAAAAGTACGCTTTGAGGTAAACCGCCAGTGGCATCCAAAATCCTTAATACGATGAATAACGGCAAAAGAAGGTAGACCATGATCATTAGAAGCATATAAAACGTCGTATCAAAGAATAGTGGCCTCTGCGAACGGAACCGTTGAAGTGTTGGTATTGTTAAGCCTTTTCAACCAACTTATTCCACGTGTGTCCATAGGAAGGCCGGCACTTCAGTGCAAATTTTTACAGTCGCCTCGACAACAATTTATCGTCAGAATTAATGCTTGTAGCTTGGTCACAGGGACTAACAGTACAGTAACCGTGTATATCCGCGAAGAATAGCAGATGGTCCAATAAACTTAACTCCGCTCCGGCATTATCAACGAATTATCAGCTGAACTTGGGGAGCCGTGTTTGACCCATTATTTCGAGCTCCTGCAGATAGCCGACCACAGTGGATGGCACAATGAAAGGAATTCATTTGTTCGTGGCCTTTCGAGGTTAATAATGGACAGTGTTGCATTTTACCCAACATTAGTACTGTAATGTGCGCAATATTCAATGTAAATTGATTGACCGATTAGCGTTATCCTACTAGTAGGTCACTGTTCTCTTTTCAGACGATATACGACGTAATGCAAGCTTATCGTGATTTTCTGTCATGTTTAAGAATTTGTAGGTAGGAAGAACCCAGTATTTCTGATAGGAGCATTCATGCCCTACTGGCACTTGCTTTACAAGTTCCAGGGAATTCTCTTCACCTTTAACTGGCTATTTCGAAATTCATGACGGCCATTCACGACCCGACGGTACTTCGCTTTTGTAGACAGCCCCTTCAACATAAGTATTTGTAAATATAAGTTCTTCGTTTGGATGACTAAGCAAACTACTAATGTTGACGTTCATATATTGCGCAGAATAAAATCACCTTTTCCTCTTTCTAGGGTCTGTCCTTCTACTGGTTATTGTCTTCGATGACTACCTTCTGGATGCATGTCCTTATTAAACAGCCACGATTTAAAATGCAGTTCAAGATTCCTATGCTTCCCTATGAATCTCGAAGGCCGCTCCGTGACCTCCTGAAACGGCTTGTTTTTTTAAAATAATTGGGTAGCGGCAAATAAATATTGAAATTTAATTTAACTGTTTACCCTTTTAGAAATTACGTTTTTAAAATGTCTGCTATTTCACATAAAACTGATTGACCGCTGTTCTTTGTTTCGTTCTTTCTAGAAAGTATTAAGAAGTTAACAGAATTAATTTATTTAATGCATAACTACCGAAAGACTGAAGTAATACAATGCAAATGATTAAAAATAAATATAGATTCATATATGACTGGACGCGATCACCGTGATTCTTCTTCGCGGGACTGTTCGCCATATCGCTTGAGCATTTGACGAATGATGAACAGACTTGTGGCGTTGTCCATGTAGGCGAGATTCGGGATGTCTGAGTAATACTTACTGGCCGAAAAGCTATCAAACTGTTCCCGGGAAGAAGAGGAAGACGACGAAAAATCCCTGCATTTAGTTCGTTTAGCTTTCGACTGATCAGCTGCTGTCTTTGCTTTGTTCGCCTTCGATCTCTGCAATTGCCTGGTGACATCGGATGTGGAAGCAAGCGGCGACGCCGGACATTCCAACACTCTTTGAGCAAAACTTAGGGCATTTCCGAAATCATCATCCTAAAATAGGGAACTTTGATCAATCAAAGCAATAACATTACTTTTATTTTTTTACACGGTAAACTTTGTGCTGATTGCAAGCGCAACGCCCACCGATCGGTTAGCCATCGTCTATCTCGCACGATCTAACGTTATGTCCGCACTTGAGAATCATGCTATCAGCACTACTCATAATTCAGTGGCTGGCTGCTACCCGCTTCTGAGTAAGGAATTTACCACTCACTACTTCAGATAGGGGTTGCTCAGTCGATGGGGCGTCGAATTCAGAACCGATAGGTCTTGAATTCAAGCCGCAGTCGGGGTTACTCTCTGTTCTTCCTTCTGAGGTTGATAAACAAGTACCACTCTACGCTTGCCACATGGATATAAGCTATACCTTTAAAAGTATGGCGTTCTTAGCTGAAGGCATAGAAATGGAGATCAGCACCGCACCATCAACTTCAGGAAAAGGGGTTCGCAAAAATGGCTCAATCACGAAAGTGGAGGAACACAGACATTCCAACGTTGACCAACTCGTTTCTGAGCTGGTTGCTCGAAGCGCAGTGAAATGACGTTTCTTCTGAAGGAAATTAACAGTTTTACTATGAAAATTTTGTGCAGTACAGCATAACGCTACAATCATCCGCGCCATTACCCCATCTCTCGCTTATTCAATATCACTGCTAATGAACATGAATTTAAAAAAAAAACAATAATGTAAAAAGCAGTAAATCTGGCTTTGCAAGAGTCATGCATTATTTAAGGCAAGCAACAGTAGTAAAGTTTAAAGTAATAGAGTAGAGAATAGTTTAGATAACGAAATGAACGGTTAAAAACCAGAAAAAAATTTCTAATAAACGAAGCTTTATGAACCCAGAACGGTGTTCTTTCTTCACTACAAATTAACAATGTACAAAGTAGATATCCTGATCACATGACAAAGATCGGCAGGCACATTACTAAAATACTGTAACAAAAAGCATAAGCAAAAAAATAACTGAAAGAACATCAGGCATTAAATATAAATAAATATATAAAAATGAGATAGAGTAATTCGTTGGTTGATAATGGTCAGCGCGTTGGTAGTCACCTTTACCCAATAGCGTAAAACGGTTTGTTTTTACAGTTTAGTGACTGATCAATTCCGACGTTTCGACCCTTGTTCAAGGTAGGTTGGTAGTGAAGCTTACTGAATGTGGTCCGTGAGATTGTACCGTGAAAAAGAATATGAACTCTGTGCGGACTGGATGAGCCTCACTCCCATGTCGCCCAAAAACTATTTAACCAGCGACACGAAACTTATAGTTGCCTTCTGGCTCTGAAACTATCGACCACATTCACGAAACTTCATCATCAACCTACCTTGAAGACGAACCGTGAGACAGACACGGGCTGAAACGTAGGTACTGGTCAGTCACCAGACTGACCACTATATCTTTTGCGTTGTGCATAAGTAAACCGTGTTTTAGGCTACTTTTATAGGAAATTAGGTAGAAGAAATCACGTGATTTACTTTGAGCTTCCAAGTACATGAAAGATCTTCGAAGTTTAATTCATCGTTTACATAGGGTGCACCAAAAACATCTGATGAGACCGGCGGTGGTGTTGTCACGGTATTAGATTATTATGTTGTGACGTCCTGGCTATATATACGGTTGTCAATAGCATATTTCACAACAGTAGAATATTCATGCTGGAAAGCAGCCAC